TGCATCAAAATTATCCCAATATCATGTCATTATTCTATTTAGTCTATTAAATTATACACCTCCAAGCATAACAGTACCTGTGATGCAATATTTTACATTTATGTTCCTTGTCTTCTGCACATGCCAACAAATTAATTTTTCTTCAGAGATGGTAGATAAATGTTATTGTCATCTCTCTCTCACACACACACACACACACACACACACACTCACACACACACTGTAGGTGTTTGGGGTTTTTTTTAACCATTAAGCAGGATACTTCAAAAACCACAGTAGGTCAAAACTACAGATGAACCTGAATCTCATCCTCCCATGCACATTTAAAAATGGTTACGTGTGTAATGTGCTTTGCACTTTCTTCTCAAATAGTCAATTTATCAAAGATGAACAACTGTTTTCTTTCTTTTTACTATGACAAATAAAATCCCAAACCAGGCTCCGTTTGATATCAAATTGTAAACTAAGTCCACTCACTAAGCCATAATACACATGAAGGAACCTCCAAGTCTGAGCCTGCCCAGCATTTTCAGCTTTAAACAGAAATGAACAAGAGCATTGCTTACAGACTAAAATGAATTAAATGGATGTTACAGCAGTGCTTTAGGTAGAGACTTTTAGAGGTGTGTGTATGTGTGTGTGTGTGTGTGTGTGTATGTGTGTGTGTGTGTGTGTGTGTGTGTTGCAATGTATACTTTTGCAGCAGCCTTTAAAAAGCATGCATTAGCCGTACTTCAAGTCAGATAAGAACTGCAAATACTACCAGTGTCACACAGCCCGGTGACAGATCTTGCTTATAAAAACAGCAGTGTTTATAAAAAGGCGACTTTAGTGAATTGCATCAAGCACCAAAAAACACATAGCAAACTTAAGACTTTTCACACATCTTGTTTGGTGTCACTTCTTGAAACTCGAATGATAAAAATGACGGGGTAAGCATGCATGCTCATTTCCCCACAATACGCCTAATGGAACCACTGTGGCTCTAGTGACCTGGATGGAACAACTTCAAACACCATGCACACTTAAACACCATGTGTCTTCTACAGCTGCACGCACAGATAGCCTCGATCCAGACAGCTCTGTGGGCCTGCTATTTAAAGGATGGGTGATTAAGAAGCAAACCAGGTCTGACCTTTGATTGTGGGTGCTGACTAACGCTATGGGCATTTTGTTAGTTGAAGCATAAGGTCTGGCATGGTTGGGATGTTAGGGGGGGATTTATTACGCTTGGATTTAGTCATAAATTTAACCTTTTTTCGCCGGCTTTATGGCAAATTTAATTGAGAGTATATGATGATTAGCTCGTTGCAAGCCCATCTCTGCAATAGCACACTGAATCCGTTGATAAAGCCTGCACGAGTTGACAGCAGTGCAAATTAAGAGTTCAGTCATCCATCTTTTAATAAAGGAAGTCGGGATAAAAAGGGAAGAGCGCCGTTTTTGTACACAACTACATGCAAATGTCGCAGCTGTTTTGTGTGTGTGTGCGTGTGTGTGTGCGCGTGTGCGTGTGTGTGTGTGTGTCTTATTCTGAACGATCACAAACTCACTACTAGAAAAAACATAAGAGATAAGAAAAAGCATGCCCCGAGAAATCTTGCACAAATGACCAAAGAGTTAACCGCAATACCCGCCTGTGCCGTCTCAGGACAATGCACAGCGGCACAGAGGCAGACTGGAGATCAAAATCAGCGGCGTAAAATGCACCTGAAACACGCTTTGCACTTGTTGATTGCCCAGCCTCATGACAATCCTTCGCCCTTCTCACACAGGTCGACTAGATTTTTGAGGGGGTCCCCCCCCCATCTTTTTCATGCTAGGATCATTATTTTTCCTGCAGGAATTTATAACCTCGCCCGAGAAGCAGACGATTGACAGACGAGAAAACACACTGCAACAGCTGTGAGTCAAATACCGTCAGAGCACGCAGGAAAGCCAAATGACACTGGGCTCATGCACACACTCACTCCATGCTGGACACACATCGTCTCACATACCAAACAGCTAGCTTAACGATAGCTGTGGAGGGCTGGGGTAGGTCATTATACAGCCACCTAAAGCGAGGAAAAGCACAAGCATACACACAAACACACCTAGCCCTGGCCCTGGAGAAAGCGCCCACAACACTCTGCTAAAGTTAGCTGGCTACCAAAACTGGCTAGCTAGCTGTCAAAGTTGCCCTGTCAGTTGTCACCGGTTGCACGGCGGTGTTAGCAGGCTAACGCAAGAGCTGTCAACTTGGAGAGTTGCAGCAGCACGGCCGGGGTGTACTAACACTGACCACGGGGGAAACACTGACTGGCTCCCTGAGCAGAAGAAGAAGGGGGAAAAAAAACAGGAGTCCCCCCTCACGCCTCAGCACAGCGAGTGGAGAACCGTGTGTCAGGGCCTGTTCACTGGGCGCAATCCCCACAACTTCAGTGCAGCTCACTTCCCCGTTAAAGTCGTCCATTTCGTGGGCCTTAGTTCAACTTCCATGCCCGTGTAGCTCACTTACTCAGGGTGAAAGCTGCTGTGACGGTGGCTCTCTGTAATCCTCACGGTAGTTTTCAGAGTAACTGTCTCCCCCCTTCCTTCACCTCCTCTTCTTCGGATAGCGGGTTGCCCTCCCCCCTCGGGGATGTCCTGCGCTCCTGACGCTATCGTCCTGTGTGAAGAGCTGCTGTGACCGTGGCTTCGCCGGTGTGCCTGCGGTGCCGTGGCGTCCCTCTTCAGCTTCTCTCCGCCTTCACCCGTTCGCCTTTCTTTCGGCGGCCGAGCCAACATCCGGGACTCTCCCCTCTTTGGGTTAAGTGCCCGGAACTACTTTCACATAGACAGCTCACATGAAGGTTTCTTTTCTCTCTCTCTCTCTCTGTCTTTCACCACCCCTGCCGCCACAGAAACTAGCGCGCGGTTAAATGCACACGCCCGCAGTGGAAAAAGCACCCGCACACACGAAAGCACTTCAATCAATAAAAATGATCCGTGATATCTGCTTTATTTATTGCGCACTGGGTGTAAATGTAGCTCAAAGTGCGCAGAAAAATAGAGGCAACATCACAGAATAAAAGCAGGAGGCGCGAGGGGGGGGTAGTTGAATACAGTCCACATGGTCTGATAAGTCACCTTTTTTTTAATAAAAGGTGTGTAAGTTTTAACCAGTGGCTTTATTTATACTTATTCAAAGGTTAAATCATTTAGTAAAACTGTAGCCTACTTACAAGCTCTAACAGGTTTCCAGGTCTATTAAATGGGTGTATGCTGCTTTCATTGTAATAAGTGGGTTATAAATTGTGGCAGCCATCAAGTCTGCAGATAGCTCACACGTTAATAAAATGTTAATAAAGGGTAAAATCCCTAGAAAATAATTAAAAAATATCTCTAAATCAATACAAACCTCATGCAGCATGCCTTTTTTCTTTAAGTTGCTCTGATTATTAATTATTAACTGCTGAAACTGCAATAAGTTACTACTTGCAAAAACTTGTATGAAGCATGCCTTTTTAGGAAGTGATACCGACAGGAAATGTAGATCAAAGATCGGATGAAAGAGTTTAATTAAAATGTGCATCTTTTAAGGAGTAGGTGTTTCAGAGAAATGAAATAGACAGTGATAAAAGACAAGCATTAGTGTTTTGAAACAGCACGATACAGGATCATCTCCATACAAAGGTGCGGTTTTAGCTCAGTTACCACAGTTGGGGGAAAAAAGACCTAAAAATAACAGGCTGGTGTTTCTAAACTTAACCCTGTACTGAATCAACCTTTACTGCAGGAGCATGTGCACACATGTAAGTGGTCCGAGCCTATGTAAATATAGCGAGCTTAAAAACTACTTAAAATGTCCATTGCACAATGTGAACTGCACCATAAATTCACAGAGCAAAAAAAAAAAAAAAAAAAAAAATTGCCAAAAATAACATGACACTAATGGGCTCAGTGACCTCAATGCCCGCAATCACTTCAAAGCAGTTGTAAGCAGTATTATAACAACGGAAGGAAAAGTTTACCGTGGCATCGCCTTAATTTTCATTCATGCTTCTTCTGGGCTTTTTATATGGGATAATTTAAGAAACTGGTGTGTGATAGAGGTGTGGTTGTTGTATGTGGGGAATTTGGTTGCCTTTTTTTGAATTGTTCTGTCAGTTCTTCTGCCAAAGTGTTGCAATCATTTAATTAGTGTGAAGGTTTTATGCTCACTAATATCTGGATGTCCTTTAACTCCACTCATAAAGCTCGACCTTCAACGCGGAGGCTTGCAGAGGCCATCAAAAGAGAAATATCAGCATGGCATCTTTAGTGCAAAACAGTGATCCTGAAAAAATACAAGCAATCACTACATCGATTTATGTTTTTTCCAGCTATTTTTATTATTAATACTTTATTTAGAATTTTCCATGTCACTTATTTTCACCTAAGCTACAACATGTATTTTTATTACTTAGTTATTATCATTATTATAATTAATAGTTATTTTATTAGTTATGCAAACAGATATCATATTGTTCTGATATCTAGTAAAAAAAAGTTATTTAGCTTTTACATGCGCTTAAACTGGAAGGGAAAACAATGCAATTAAGTACGCACGTGAAGGTAGCAGCCGAAGTGGTGTAACTGTCCTTCCAACGGTGCAGCAGCGGCACCTGCCGGTCGATTGCGGAACTGCCGCCAATAAATCCTAAAAATATGGAACAAGACAATTGATAAACGATTAAAGTCTTAAAATAAAAGGTTTGTAGGTATACTGGCTCAGCCTGCCCTCCTATAGCTTATGATGTGCCACTTTAGGCTGAAATAAAAAGTTTATGGTGAATAAAAGTTATATATCCCAAAATAGTTTTCACACTGACCAAGCAGTTGATTTTTGTGAGTTGTTATTGGTTAGTTTCTCAGATGATTTCTTTAGTTTTTGAAAATCACAAATCCTGAAAATGAACTTTCCTTAGCTA